CATAATATCCAGAAGATAAGACACCTCAGTTTTGCAAGGTTCTCGATTCTGATTGGCTAACATTTTTTCTCAGATTAACTGTATTGTATTTTTTACTCAAAYGGTTAGTAAGTTGGCCTTTGAAAAATTGCAAAATGAAGTACAATGGCGATTATATCTTTAATTGCTTTTCATTTTTCTTTCTTTTATTAATCTTTTTTTGACAATGAAAAAGTCGGGTGCTCAAAGTGCATGTTTGCAATGCTACAACCCCCCCTTTGAAAAAATCCTGGATCCGTGCCTGATTAGAGTAACATTCTGACCATTTTTTACAATTTTCAAAAAAATACTCAGCAGCGGGAACATTAAAATATCATAAGTAAAGTTCRGACACTAGCAAATTACATTCAGTTCGATAGACACAATAGACCTTTTTAGCTTAGGCCAGACTGAAAAAGTGAACGTGGCCAAACGGTTGCCGGTAAAAAATGTGGAGTACCATTGCACTAAAAAGGCTCCGTACATTTGCAATACGGCACACTACTATCTCCAGCTTTTTCGAAAGTCGTCTGCGAGTTTTCTTTGAAAATTCCTTTAGAATAATAAAAATCCCTGCAAAGGAACTACGGACCACCTAAATAGATCATCTCGATTGTCTCGACCAAAAAGCTGCTGGAAGTGCGTATTTTCACGTTTCCACAGTTAGGCGCCAGTCACTAGTCACCGCCATGCTTGCTTGAAGTAGGATTCTTTAATGGCATCTGCCACTCTTTAATTCGCGTTGGTCGTAAAAAAAAAAAAAAAACATTTAATTTGTCTGACCCCGCTAGGTTAGCTAAGAAAGAACGCAAGGAATCTACGCTACTCTCATGCAAGCAGTTTCATAACAACGACACGTGCAGTGTCTGTTAAATGGAATTCCGCGTTCAACTCATTTCATGCACAAGTGCAATGAGGCACTAACTCCAGCTCCAGCTCTTTCTAAAATCGTCAGAGAGATTGGGTTTGAAAATTCCGTCAAAATGATATAAATTCCTCGATCTGTGTCTACGTGGTGACAATAATGCTTCCCTAGCTAGAGTGGAATCTCACCACTGACCCTTGACCATGCAAAACGAAGCCAGCGGAGATATAGGGCATACTGGCCACGTTTTAGTTCCAGAAACGCTATTTTCGCCTCTAAGTCCGCCCATGTTCATCATATAAAGGTCGACACTGGTTCATCTCTAAACATTCATTGTGTAAACGGCGTCCTAGCGAAAGCATTGTGAACTATTCGAGATCAAAATGTCGCTTTATTATGGCGGTCGAATTCTTACTATGGTTGGAGAGACGAAGGAAACAGTCCAATACGTCGAGGCTGTGGTAGAAATGGATGGAAAGATCGCATTTGCAGGAAGTCTGACCGAGGCGAAAAAATTGTTTCGTGGAGTAAACGAGGTGAACCTCGAAGGACGAACAATGATGCCAGGGCACATTGATCCTCACCTTCACCCTTCCATGGCGAGCTTGATTCTCAAGATGGATTTCATCACCCCGTTTGACTGGAATCTTCCGAGCGGCGTGTATTCTGGAGTACGAACCGAAAAGGAATATCGTGCCAGGTTGACCAAGCTGATCGCGAAGCGAAATATCAGTCCAAGTAAAGATTTCGTGATAACTTGGGGCTATCATCCATCTTTCCATGGCACGATGTCCAAATCCGTAATAGACCAACTAGCCACTACAGTGCCTCTTGTTGTGTGGCACCGTAGTTTCCATGAAGCGTACCTTGGCACCTCAGTTCTTGAGCAGCTCAAGTACGACGACTTGGACGAGCTGAAGAAAAATCCTCAAGTTGATTGGGAAAATGGCCACTTCTTCGAGATGGGTTTGGATGACCTTCTGAGCACAACATCGTTCAAAGACCACGTTTTCCCTCTAATGGAAGAAGGCTACAAAGATCTGGTCCAGGTTGTCCATTACAATGGAATCACCACTGTAGCGGATTTGGAATTTCCTATACTTGATCTGGACCTGGAGAAAAGCATGGCTGCCAAGAATCTGAAGTCAAAGGATGTCTTCTTCTCGACCTATTGCGTTTGTAGTGCGAGGAACTTCGGCAAGATCGCAAATGAAGATCATGAGATAGCTAAAAACCTCATCCAGGATCTAGCAAAAGAATTCAGTGATGATCAATTGATTGTATACGATGACCACGTAAAGGGGCTCTTAGACGGGGCGTTCTATTCTCAGCTGATGCAAATGGCAGACGGCTACCCTGATGGCCATTCTGGTCAGTGGATCACTGAACCAGACGAGATGGCAAAACTGATGGAAGTCTACTGGAGGTCCAAGCCTAAAGGGTTCCAAATCCACGTACATACCAATGGTGACCTTGGGATGGCAAGGGTATTAGAAATCGTGGAACATCTGAAGAAGAAGTACCCTAGAAAGGATCACAGGACGACAATCGAGCACGCTGGCTACTTCACTAAAGAGCAAGCTGATAAAATAGCTGAGCTTGGTTTGATGGTGTCGGCCGCTCCATACTACCTCTTTGCGTTAGCTGATAAGTACAGCAGTGAAAAAGAAGGCATTGGTAAAGCCCGGGCGGAGGCCATGACCCCACTACGATGGCTCTTTGATAACGGAGTGGTCACAGCTCTTCATTCTGATTTCACGATGGCACCGTCACAGCCTCTTCTTCTCGCCTGGAGTGCTGTAAACAGGGTCAGTGCCGAAGAAAATTGCTTCAGAAAGGATCTAGCAATCACTCGCTACGAAGGAATGCTTGGAATAACTAAGAATGCAGCCATAATCCTTGGTACTGATGACATCATGGGAACCATTGAAGAAGGAAAGCTTGCCAACTTTACAATCCTCGAGAAGGATCCACTGGAAGTGAACCCCATGGAAATCAAAAATATCAAGATCTACGCCTCAGTGTACAAAGGAAGAATGAACAAAATCCATGCTTAGTGACTCAATCTAAGAAAAACTGGTTGCACTGTTACTTTTCCCTGCTAGCAAGTCTCCCTCACTGGCGATTCTTGGCAGAGAAAATGGGAAAAAATATTATCTTTGCCAAGAATTGCCAAAGAAGGAGACTCTGCTAGCAGGGAACTGTTAACTGGACTTGATTGATAGCTCGATGATTTTAATAAAGTAGAAAAAATTCAAATTAGAAAATCGATTAGTTCCCAAAAGTCTTGCTTACACTAACATTTTTTTAAAATACCAAAATACAGCACAAAACTTGAAAAACACAACCCCAAGGTTCAGTGTTGGATGATAAAGGTGTCTTTGATACATTGTGGAGTGGCATAAGACAGGGAAACCAAGCCACACCTTATACATTCACTGGGGAGGGGGAGTGGTGGTTATTAATGTAGTGTTTTTTTAGGCTGATTATTTTTATGTRTAACTTTCAGTGTGCAACCTTTTAAGCCTTAAAAGCAAGTAAACATTTGTATTTTTTTAATTAAAATTGCATTTGCAAAAACTCTAGACTGGTCGCTAGTTTTATCTTGTTTATCCAGGGATTTGCCATCACTTGGTCATATGGGGTGGGAGGGGGATTTACCATTTACCCACCAATACACACGGATACTAACCATATGGATAAAAATACCAAATTTTCTCTTTAAAGAAAAAATATTCTATATACTTAAACAATTTTGGGCTACTGACTGTGCACTGGTTATTAGAAGTGTCATGTCGAAAGAGCAACATGTGGGGGGGGGGGACTTTCGGGTGATCATGTCCCCCGATTTGTAGAAAAAAAACATTCAATTTTAAAACAATTCTGATTTATCCTTCTTTTGCTCCTCTCTTTTTTGTTTCTTTTCGTTCAGCATTTCAAGGGGGGGGAGGAACAAAATGGTGACTTTTCACAGTAGTGCACCCTTAGAAAATCCTTGCTAAGGCCCTTCAACGAATTTTTCTTTTTGATCTGAATTTTCTTTTTAAATTCAGTGAATTCGTATGGAAATCTGAGGATGTCCAAACATTTTGGTGACCATAACACAATCCAACACCTTTTGGGCTAGCACTCAAAAGAAGAATTTTGACCCCTGTCTTGCTAACAGTCCAGGGCCGGGTTGTTCAAAGCTGGATTAGCRCTAATCCAGGATTAACTCTATAGGTCTTATTAAAGTGCTACTACGACGAAAATCGCTCAAACTTGCATTCGGCTGAAACTTCCTAAAAATACTCTTTAAAGGTCCAATAATCACTGTATGAAGTGTTTTCTCGATATTCAGGACGAAAGTATGATATTTTTACGATTAYTTTTTGGAGTCCGTGACGTCATACACTCAACATCAAACATTGCTACATATATTTCTTTGTATATAAATCCTTAATTTATTTTATTCCTATGAAGCCCAAAGGTGGCTAATGTGCTTATTTCACATTACTTGTGACTATAATTTATATTTTGGGTGTTTGGGTATTTCTTTCCCCCTTTACTACTGATATTTTGATCATAAACTACAAAGAAATGTATGGAGCGATGTTCGATGTTGAGTGTATGACGTCACAGACTCCAAAAAATAATCGTAAAAATATCATACTTTCGTCCTGAATATCGAGAAAACACTTCATACAGTGATTATTGGACCTTTAAAGAGTATTCTTAGGAAGTTTCAGCTGAATCCAAGTTTGAGCGATTTTCGTYGTAGTAGCACTTTAAGAGTTAATCCAGGATTAGCACTAATCAGGCTTTGAACAACTAGGTTCAGGGCTCTAGAATTTCATTAATTTTAGTTGCCCAAAAATGATTTTACAGTTTCTGAAAGCTGATTGAGGCATACTTTCTAGTACCAGACCCTGTAACGCTGTATTCCTGTTTATTTTTGGCAGTTTGAAAAAATAAGTTGTAAAATTTGCAATATATTAATTTTGCCTTCATGAGTTTTTCACAAATTAAATTCCAGACTAGTCAATGAGAACAGTCAAGTGAGGTGAAAGTAGTGAAAAATCCATGAAAATAACACTTGATGTGAAGAAACAACTAAACTACATGTATTTCTATGAAATATTTTATTTCATTTGAAATTCACCAATATGACAGGCAACAAAGGTAGGAATTAAGATTCATCCTCTCCTTCATCATCTTCCTCCTCGTTACTGATTTGGAAGTATCGCAGCTCATAAGTGTTTTGGTCAGAAGCCACTACACGAAGCCAATCACGAAGGTTATTTTTCTTCAAATACTTTTTCGTAAGATACTTGAGGTACCTGGGAAAAATGCATAGGTAAAGGTTAAAGATCTGTATCTTAATGTTAGCAGTCACTTGAAGGGAGGCTACTCTCAGTCTCCCAGGGCTTAAAATAATGGTCAGTCAGTTGCTAATCATGATCGCTGGCCAAATTAGGTCTAACTCAAGCATACTTCATTTCTGGCTCCACTGGTCTAAATGATCAGTAGGGCAAAGATTTGAACAAGGTAGTCTGGACATTGTCTGATGACAGTTATTTTAAGCCCTGTCTCCCACGAAAAGCAGTACCACTACACTACCACCTTACTATACGATGTCTGACTATAGGCTTATTTAAACAAGTGACACAATATGAATTGSCACTAAAAATCAATACTTTTTTTGCACACAATCATTGTCAACCCACCTTTTTGAGAAAGGAATATCAGACACCACACTGACTTTGTTCTTTAGTCTTTCTACTGTAACATCTCCACCAAGGTTGTTGGTTTTTCCTTGGACTTTGATCTTATCATGAAGAAAAGTCTCCTATTGGGGTGTAAACAGAATTGGGACTTAGGGAAGATGGCCCTAAGTGTTCTACTTAGGGAAGATAGCCCTAAGTATTGGAAGTTTTGTAAGGTACTGTATCGGTTCATACCTTAACAGCCATTCTCAAAAACACAAGCTGCCGTAGCGATTGTTTCTGTCGCAACAAAAAAGCTTTTGGTGGACGTCAATCAAGGTGTTTCCATGACATTCTATAGGCACATGCCCTTAAAGCTTTGTGTTTTCCGACAATGTTATGGAAACGCCTTGTGATTAACGTCCACCAAAATCTTCTTCCTCACAACAGAAACAATCGCTAGAGGGTGCGTGTGATTGAGAAAGGCTATAATTAAGACTGATCCAGTTTTTACTAGCGCCAGAAGGTAGGAAGCAGAAGTGGAAGCATCAGAAATGGAAACCTTCTGTTCCTTTCCAGGGGTTTCATTAATTTTTAAAACATGGGATAAGGTCATGAAGTAGCCRGAAAGTCTAAGTGAACATTTTACAAATTACCTAAGCTATGAATGGTAGTTTAAGCTGGAGAGTTTTGATCATTTACTGTACTAGAGAATTATCCGATCCTCAATCTTTAATGAAATCCCTGCTTTTGTTTATGATTCTGTCAATGTCACACTTCTACTGGGGTCTATATATATTCTATTTTCATTGGAATTACAACATCTTATGATTCTGTTTGTTTCCAACACCAGTGAAAACCAGACCACATTATTGACATTGAAAATAAAAATCTTATAAATAATGATAGAGGAAAACATAGTATTAAGTTAAAGCAACATAGAAAACTTTGGACATGTTTTGTATTGTCCGGTAAGCTCTGTAATGGATTTACAGAGAGGGAGGATTTATGGGGGAAGGGTGTGGTTTAATTGACTTTTGGTTGGTAAATTGATTAAAAAAATTAACAAACAAACATTCAAGTAAATAAACATTTAAGTAGCTAATATTGCTATCAAATTAGCAAACTGCACTTGTCAAAAAAAAAATATATATATATATATATATATACACCKACTTGCAAGAACRTTGTCATACRAAAATAGAACATTAGTGATTTAGTGGGATAGGAATTATATTAAAAAACAAAAGAAGATCACTGAAGCTGAACTTTTTCTTTTGTCTTTTAATGCATTCCTTTCTCACTAAATCACAAATGTCCTAATATCGTATGTCAACGTTCTTGCAAGTAGGTGTGTATATATATATATATATATTTGAATAGATAGACATGTATGAAAACAACTATACAGTGTGTACCAAAACAATCATACGACATGTAACAAACAGACCTAGTGTATTGAAACTGACATGTAACTAAACGACTGGTATTCTTTGACTCCTGCCAAGTTTGAAAATGGACACTAGTACCCATATTTCACTCATATTCTTAAGTACCTTACTTTAAAACACTGTTTTTTAGTCATTTAAGAAATAATGTATATCACTTACGAAGGTAGCAGCATCCATGATTCCATCCTCAACAGGGTGGGTGCAGTCAACTGAGAATTTCAGTTGAGTCTTCTTTTTTTGCTGCTTCTTTTTGGATTTCTAATGACAATATGAACAAAACAACACAGACAATTAATAAAACTGACCAAAATTCATTTTTGAACCTAAATTATTGTGATGTCATAGCCACTATTTTGGTTTGCTGTGAAAATATATTTGGCCTTGGTGCTTTTTTCATGTCAACCAACATGCTGGCCATGCTGTCATGTTATTATCTTGAGAAGGGATGTATGCCACCATTAAAGAAAAGCAGTAAGAGCCCAACATTTCATTATACGTTTCTCGACCAATCAGCGTGAGATTTTCAATAATCACATTAATTAACAATCATTCACCAAAGGCGAAATGATTATCGGGGAATATTTACTGAGATGTGAGTCTTCCCCAATAATCACTGAGTCTGAGGCAAATAATTGTTTTAGCATAAATACACAGGCAATTTTTTCCAAAAAAGGGAAAAAAAGAAGATAAAACACATTTTTTCTGGTAACAGCAACAGCGCGGCTGGCCGCCATTTTGGATTTTCGCTTAAGGTGATTATCGTGTGATAGTGTGAATTTCTTAACCAATCAGCGTGCAAGATTTTCTATAATCACCTGCATATTTTTATTAATATGCAATAATGTCTCTAAAATCAGCTCACAAATTTGATGCAGGATTCATCTAATACTCCAAGGTAATACTCTATCATTGAACATTTAAAAAAATGCCGAACAGGAATAAAGTTAATCATCAGCTGTTTGCAATTATTAGRACTCTCCTCAAAAATCACGATGATATTCAAATATTTCATAAATTCTGTCCATATTTTATGACACGTGGTTAGAATTTGAAAAAAAATAGATGTAATTTAGAAGCTAAAACATATCAAAAACCCCTTTGGAATTCATTTTACCTCTACAAAAGCGCATAAATTAATAATTCTTTAATAATACTGCTATTTAAATCCATTTTTTGAATAAATTAAACATAAATTTTACTCGTTTTATTGCAATCCCGCGGTAGTACAACTTTACACATCAGCCGTACTCGGAGTTTGAATACAATTTTTTGTGTCAAAATCATGATTTAGCGCCAAAAAATAGAACCGTGGGTGTAGAATGATAACTTAAGTAACTAAATTAAGCACTCTGGAGTAAAAATTGTCGTTTTATAGGGGTAAAAAAGCGATATTTTAGAGAGTATTCTTACCACAGGCATGATGGAGTCGAGAAAGAAAGGGAAGAGAACCACATGAGGCAATGCAGGGGGTCTTATGCGCGCGCACAAAAAAACACGTCTCTTCCGCTGCCCTCACAAACCGAAGTCAAAACACGAATTCCTTGAAAAACATTTATAAATCTTTTCAACAATTTTCATAAACTTTTTAGCGTTATTTTTATTCCTTTTCTAAAAATATGGATAAAAAATAATTGAAGTCTTAAATTTAGTAATTAAATCAATACTTATAGCATGGGGTTCCTGTGTTAATGGGACTCCGCTGGTCAAAACCCCGTGGGCGTAGCTCAGTTAAAAAAAACATGGCGCCGATCAGAAAGAGTGAAGAAGAAGTTGGAAGAATTTGGGATCGATGCTTTGTTGATACCACGATAAAAGCTGGTTAGAAATATAAATAGTTGTCCCTTCTTCTTAAATCTATTTTTTCCTATAATATACACAGCGTTTTGATTTATAATGCCTACCGGTATTTGAATATTGTTATTGTCAATTGATTTTTATTTTATTTTTCTAGCTAGTGGTGCTATTGTTGGAAGCTTATTTTCGCTTTTATTTTTTAAAAGTAAGTAGAGTGAAGCTAATAGTGCGTTGATATGTAGGGGTTGAGATCAAACCCCCTCCCTCTCCCCCTCCTCCTCCTCCCCCTTCCCACCACCACTAATGGAGTATTATTAAACCCTTCCATGTCAAAAAATGTCTGCACTTGCTGTGCAATTATCTACTAATCATGAATAGACCTTCTTACCTTGGGCATAGAACCCATTTCAGATCCCAAAGTGTCATTCCCTAGAGTATTTCATTATGGATACAACTCAAACAAAGAATCTTATCAAAAGATTGAAACATGGTCTGAGATGGGGAGGGGGAGGGATTCAACTTAGCTGGAAAAATTTTTTTTCAGAACTTAATTCTTGAGCAATGTTTGAAGAAGCATTAGGCTCTTTGTGTCTCTCTGCTAGAGCACAACAGCCTTTGACCTCTCATGACTTTGTTGCTCACTCTCCTTTAACAAATAGGAAAATCATGGCCTGTTGCCCTAGGTCTGGGTGTGGGCATAGGTGCAGGGTATACTAACTGTAGACATCAGTTTTGGTGGAGAAGGTACTATCCATACCCTCCAGCACAAGGTTTTAAGTACAGACCACCATTCTGGAGAGCACCACCACACTCAAGGAAAGATAATGCACCAGAAAAGGTAGTATGAAAAGGGTATTTTACAAGTTTCATCATTATTCAGGAGCATGTGCACAGTCTAGACTGATTCCATACGTTGGTCTTCTCACTCATCAATTAACTAGAAAAAGCACAGTGGGTAGCTTTTTATAGACCCCTTGCATGTGATGCCAAAGCAGCTCAATTTTTAAGAAGAGAATTGGAAACCTATTGCCGTGTCCTCCAAATTGAGCTGCATTCTGTTGGGCTGCAAGGGGTCTATTTCTTTTGTAAAATGGTAATTATAATAGTCATTATTTCTAGGAAACAAGTACATAATAAATAGATATACATGTCACTATCTTAGTCAAGAAAGTGTCAAAGAAATCAACAATTCCTCCCTAAAATCTTGATTTCAAAAGTTCTACCCTGAGGCAAAAAAAAGTTGAAGTTGAGCATTCTATACTTTACTTTTGATATTTGTAAATAATTAGACACTGATACAAGGCTAACCCTAAGTAAAATGAGTTAACTCTAGATCTGTAATCAAGGAACACAGTGGTAATTTGGAACTCAAAAAAAGTTTATTCGAAGTGATTAATATTTTTTCGTTTTTATGCAGTCAAAGGAAGCTCCACCCCCAGCTGATGTAGCACCAGAACCAGTAGCAACTGAAAAAACAGAAATCAAACCAAGTGATTCTTAGAGAGCTTGTTAGTATTTAAAATAAGCATGGAAATGATGTCATGAACAATAATTATGATTGACAGCAGTATGTCACCACTGATAAGCTTCAGTAACATCATTACATGCTTCAGAAGGATATTAATAATTTTGGTTGACCGGTGATAAAGTCAGACAAACCAAACCAAAGGTTATTATGTTTCATTATAATAGAGTAATTGTCTGAACTGTGTAAAGCAAATAAAAGGTTATTCTTGCTAGAATCATTGTAAACTCTCATTTGTCTTGTAACTCTAAAATCATGCTATGTTAGTGTATAATAGATTTCATGTGACTGTTAAAGATGTGTAGTCTGAGAGCATACAAAGCTGTATCATGTCAGTGCCTTGTATACCAAGCAGTCATTGGACAATTGCAAGTAATGATTCATATGCATAGGGATTGGTTCGGTGTCATCCATTCCATATCATAACAGTTCTGTATGCCTATTATTTACACCTATTTTTTTAAATGTTGTCAGCGCCAAAGGGGATAGGCATAAAAGCCATAGGAGATAGGTCATTCCAAGATCCAAGAATAGCTGGAATGACTTGTGTTTCTGCTTCTTATTCTGGTCAAGAACATGGACCTTAGTGTTGAGACCGATTCAATGTTCTTTGTATGACCTATTGCCTTTAGCGCTGACAAAATTAATTTTGAAATAGGTGCATACATTTTTATATAAAGATGATACTGACCCCAACAGTCAACCCCAACAACCACAGGCATGGCATAGTTATGAGCACTGTATAGTTCCATTGAATAGTCCCTTTTCTCATTTGGTAAATAGGTTTTCTACAAGTTTAGCCTTGTTTATCTAAAGAGCAAATCATTTGCAAAAGTCAAATTAATGTAATATATAGAGTGTGCAATTTGAGCAATAACAATGTTTTGAGATCACACAGATTTTTATTTTGTTTCTGTGCAAATACCAGCCATAGATGATTGGTAAACAAGACTAAAACTGACTTGACAATGTATATTAAATAAGTCTGTGGTCATCAAAAAGCACACAAAACAAGAAAYGGGACCATTCCTGATCAAAAAAATTTTTTTATTACTCATCATAAATGATTTCGTTAACTTACGCCAACCTAATTTCAATTTTTTTWAAAATCAATTTATTTGATTGATTGCTAGGTTTAGACTAAAACAATAATTAAACCTCTTGCCCTGAAAGTCTACAAGTTACAGCCATTCTCAATCACATGCACCGCTCTAGCGATTGTTTCTTTCGCGACGAAGTATAAGCTTTTGGTGGATGTCAATCATGGCATTTCCATGACATTCTATAGGCACATGCCCCTATAGCTTTGTGTTTTCCGACAAGCAATGGAAACGTGATTGACGTCCACCAAAACCTTCGTCGCGACAGAAAAATCGCAAGAGGGCGTGTGATTGAGAATGGCTGTAATAGCCCATTTCACCTGTTGGCCTCATGGGCTTTTGCCTCGCAGGTCTAGATCTAATTGTTTTAAATTTAAAAATAGCTATCACTACTACAGTAACTAGAACTACAGTAGAAGCTTTGGGTAAAAATAGAATCACTCTATGCTTAGCTAATAAAAGCCACAAAGTTGTTGCTGATCGAAACAGGCTCTAGCTTACATAGTTTACAGCATTTTCATTTTTGGTGGCTCATTTAGTTTTRTTTAGCTAACCAAAATTATGATGCAGGCAGCCCACTTGAAGGAGAAAGAAAGACTAAAAAGCAAGACTGGCCTGCTTAGTAAAAAAAATTTTTTTAATGCATTCCAGAGATTTTTTAAATATCACCGTGTAGTTGAAATCAAAATAGTTTTTATGATTGATTTGGTTTTTGTATACCATAATTATTTGAACATTAATAAATATCTCATGCATTCTTATAAAATCAAAACTGCACAAGAATATGATCAATATTTAAATTCTCATAAACACCACCATTGAGACATCGTTTGGAAGTAAAAAAATATCAAACAGCTGTTACATTATTATCTAGACAGGGCTTAAAATAGGGCAATGTCCAGCCAGAAAACTCCATTTTACAGCTCCATTCGAGTGACCACGAATAATACTAGTTGCAAGTCGAGGCTGCAGTTTCCGCGCATAGCAAAACTATACTTTTTATCATGCGCGGAAACTCCAGCCTAGGCTTGGAACRGAACTGTAAAWTGGGGTATTGGAGCTTGTCTGGTTAAATCTTTGCCTTGCCAGTCATTTTGACCAGGTAATGTAGAACCAGAAACAAAGTATGGCCAAGGAAAGCACATTTAGCTGGACGTCATCTATACTGGCAACTGGATGGCCATTGATTTAAGCCCTGCAAAATAATGTATTAAAAGGAGTGTGTAGTTCCAGAAATCTTCCATACCCACCCCACAGAGGAATTTGGAATTTCCGAAGAGTAGGGGGGTCAGAGAAAGAACAAAAATTACAGAGTTTGTATGGAAGAAAATTTGAATTTCTGGGGGGTTAGGGGGTGTCTTAAAAAAATTCCTCCGTGAGGGGGGTAAGGATAATTTTTGGAACTACACATTGCACTACTATGATGATATTGAAAACTTCCCAAGTATTTAATACAAAGGCAAGCATTGCAAATTAAAGCACATTTTGCTATGAGACTAATTAAAATAATGGCAAATTTTCTTAAAAGATAAATCCTAAATTGTAACTTCTTTATTTGCAGATATACATGTCTGTCATACAATAGCTATCAGAAAAAATATGCAATAATATTCATAATTACAAATTTATTATTATTAATAATTACTGATTGGTGTGAACTCTCATACTGCATAGAGAGTATAATTATTTCAATAGAATATCAAGTAGTTCAGAAGATCAGAAAACATCATTCATACTTACTTGATACTGACATTAGATTCTCAATATTTAAATCCAAAAACATAGTGAAATACCCCCAAGCGCATCTCACAGACACTGAAGTGCTGGAGGAATAGATAAATATAAGAGACCTTTAGCACAACCTTTTTGCTAGCTACTGCCAACCTCAAGTATCTTAGTAATATATACAGTATGAGTAGTCATGTTGTATCAGATACACAAACTCGAGGCGTAGCCGAGAGTTTGTATATCGGATACAACACGGACACGAATACTGTAGATTACTTATCAAACGTCTAGGTTAGTTCTTTTGTATTTCGCGAAAATTTTCAAGATAAAAGTGAATCTGGCCAAGAAAATCCATCTTAAAGTTTATGCAMATGAATAGGATTCTGGATCTGATTTACAAAACTCTTCACAGTCATGATTTCTGTTGCGTTTTCCTCATGAATTATTAATGAGTTTAATAACTGCAGTTTGACGTTAGACGTTTAAAATAATGTAAAACTTTTGACATTTAATTAACAGGGTTCATAACTAAGTTGTTGCTGCAAGAGCCGCAATACTGAATTTTATTGCAGTGGTGTTGCTGATGCTTAAGGTCTCTATTTTCTAGAAGAAAGTGTTCCACAGGTGCTTAAACAACGGCCAGTCATCAGACAATATCCAGTCACAATTGGACCTTGTTTGGTCAAATTGTTGCTCTGATGGTCAATAACCATGACCAGTAACACAAGGTTTTCAATACCAGTTGAAGTAAGTGGCAAAACCTAATGAATAGGTGGGGAGCAGCAAGAGAATTTTTCTCACATTTTCCCCTAACTTTTGGGGAATTAATCAAAATAGGCAGCAAGTTCAAGATATGTTAAATACCTGATGAGATTTGCCGGCTGACTGCTTCTATTAAAAACCCCTTTTAACCTTGAGCGAGTGATCATGGCTGATGATTGACAGGTCATTATTTTAAGCCGAGGGCCCAGTTGTTTAAAGCCCGATTAGTGCTAATCCTGGGTTAACTCTTAACAAGACCTATAGAGTTAATCCTGGATTAGCGCTAATCCAGCTTGGAACTACCCGGCCCTGTACAATAACTGATGAGCAAGCCTGGACTATATGAAAGGCCATCCACTATATGGTGTAAATCATCTTATTTTTGAGAATCATGTTAATTATATTTCCAAGTTCGTCATAGACTGGTCTGTCTATCAGGGTCTTGACTGTTTGTTGGTGCATTAAAATTTCTTCTCAAGATATCAGGATTAGTTGAAGCCATGTTGGAGAAATCTCTGAACACATCGGTGAACGTTACATCACCTATAAATAACACATTAGATTATGAAATTTTACTTCAAGGTTTCTCTAATGAAGGGGTGAGAAAAAGGGGGACAATTGGGACAATTTGCCAAAGGCAGGTGATCAGGAAGACACAATAGGGCATTATCAAGTCCCCTCAAAGGCGTATGACCCAAACCCAACTCATTGATATGTAAAAATATACTAGCCAACCATCAAACCAACCCCTAAAAGATAAAATTCAAATATGAAAATTTAAGCAAGGAAATATAATACATTTGTAAATCAAGTCTGAATTATTGTCAAGGTGTAGATTAATTGTGTTCTCTTTGGAATATTCTCGGCAAGTCATTTTATTTTTTGAAAAACGTTTATAATAATGGAATAGGCCCTTTGCAGTTAATGGTCACGTGTCTGTACTGGACTGCAAAATTTTTGTTTTTATATTAAATTGGTGATTCTTTTTAGCTACTTGTAAAGAACTGAAAGAAAACGTGTATCCAGTGTGTTACGAAATGTAGTTTTATTACGATCTCTCGAAACAGGTTGTAGAAAGTTTGTTTGCAGTCCAGTAAATTTCACCCATGGGAATCAAAATGTTCATTCATTTGCTCTCAGTGAATTAATCAGCACGTGATTGCTTAGCTGCAAAGGGCCTATTGTTGCATGAGTGATGGGCGAAGCTTAGATAGCATGTTTAATGTTTGCCCCCAAATTGGCAGATAAGAAAAGACTACAATCTAACCAAACCCCTTTAAAATAGTCAGTGAGTTGTGATGCCATGATTTTCACTTTAGGTAGGGGGAGGGGGGGTGTGATTTATATCAAACATTTAGTACCTGCACTACCACACGTGAAATCTTCACTTTCCTTCATTTCTTCATTTAATCTTGCAATACGGAGTCTATAAAAGATTCATTAGGTGAATACAAAGTCCATCTG